GGTCTTTTTGAGACAGGGTCTCCCTGTAGCCTCAGCTGTCCTGGAACTCACTATGTAGACCAGGCTGGCCTTGAACTCACAGAGATCCGCCTGCCTCTGCCTCCCGAGTGCTGGGATTAAAGGTGTGCGCCACCACGCCCGGCCCGGGTCCCACATATTTTACCTGCCTCCCATCCTGACCGTCTCCCCCTCCAAGGCCCAAGGACACAGTGATTCTGACCTTTATCCCTGGAAGTTCATGTGTCAATCTGGGTATTACTTTCTCTCCATCTGAAAACAGTAGTTTTGCCTGAAAAACAAAGACTAAGTGTTAACAGTCATTAGATTGGTGGGTAAGCATAGTTTGCCTCCATTTTTGCAGGCAGAACTCCAAAATGGGTTAACTTTTCTATAACCAATACAAAGGCACAGAATGGGTTAACTTTTCTATAACCAATACAAAGGCACAGATACATGTATTTATTTTAAAAGATGAAGAAACCAACAAGGCATAAAACATATACACATTTATTAAAAGTGGCTATGGCACATTCTATTTCTGCCTGCCAACCATGCTGGAGGTAAAGGAAAGGGAACTGGTGGGAGCTCTACTTGAAATTTTTTTTGATACATGATCATTGTCTAAAAGTTAGTAAAAAAGGGCTAGAGTATGGCTCAGTGGCAGAATGCTAGTCTAGTGTATGTGAGGCCCTGAATTTGAACTCCAGTACCACACATGGGTCACACTTTAATCCTAGCACCCAGGAGGCTGAGATCATGAGAACTGGTATAGGTTCAAGGCCAGCAGTGTAAGATCCTGTGTCTCAAAAAACCAAACCAAACCAGACCAGACCAGACCAAACTACAGAGAGAGAGGGGGGGGGGCAGGCTGAACAGAGGAGTATTCTGGCATCATGAAGTTTCCCAAGGAAAGAGTTGGCTCACGCAAGCAGAAAAGGATGGCTTGGCAAAGGAAAGTGAGGGGTATGAGAGGGTCCGGGGATATGGGAAGGTTCCTGAGGTCGGCAGATGCCTGGTGGGCCAGGTAAAGAGCCGTTTCCAGAGCTGTGGCAGCAATCTCTTGTGCAGAGTACTCCTGTGGCCATATTTCTGTGCTCCTATTTCTCTGGCCCCTTACTAAGGTTTCTCCGAGTATTTTAATCTCTTTTGGACCTGAAAGGATGAAAGGATAGCCTTCCAAGCTCTAGAGTTAAAACCAAGTAGCTTGCCCCAAGTCTAAGACTTGGGTGTTAATAGATTGTTAAATACAAAACGGGTCTCAAGGGTTTCTCCTCCAAACTTTGTCCCTTTTCAGTGAAGACTGCACATATCTCAATGTGTAATTATGCATACATTTGCATGATGATTTGACACTTGTGTATCTAACCAGGCTGTGACTTCTGAGTACAAGTAGATTATTGTTCATTTCTTTTTCTGTTTGTTCACCCATAGTCAATTTTATCCTACACACTTTTTTTTTTTTTTTTTTGGTCTTTTTTGAGACAGGGTCTCCCAGTAGCCCCAGCTGTCCTGGAACTCACTATGTAGACCAGTCTGGCCTTGAACTCCCAGAGATTCCCACCTGCCTCTGCCTCCACCTCCAGAGTATTGGCATTAAAGACATACACCATGCCAGCCCAGTTTTTTTTTTTTTTTTTAGATAGCGTTTCACATAGCCTAGGCTAGTCTTTAACTGCTGATCCTCCTCCCTCCATTTCCAAAGTACTGGGATTTCAAATGTATGCTACCACACCTGGCTTTGAAACCCAGGTTTTGTGAGGAAGAACCATTTATTATAAACATGAATATAACTAAAATGTATTTAGCATCTAGCATGTTCACTTTGCATGTATCTTTGTTGTGTTGTGAGATAATATGCATTGTTCCCAGCAAACCACTGGTGTTAGGGGTTGGCTTTATTCCCAATTTCAAAGACAAGAAAATTGATGCTCAGGAAATTAAAAAAAAAAAAAAAAAAGGTGCTCTGAGCCAGGCTTGGTTGAACATGCCTTTAATGTTGCTCAGGAGGCAGAGAAAAGCAGATCTCAGTAAGTTCTAGGCCAGCCAGGGATACAGAGTAAGACCCTGTCCCTAAAACAAAATATAAAACAATGATGACAACAAAAAAAAAACAAATAAAAACTCAAAAACATTGCTCTAAGTTTCTTGTCCTCTGGTTTCGCAGTCAGTGAGGATGAAGCTCTCTGGGCTTTTCCTCACTGTACTGATTGCAAGGAGACATACAAGCTTCTGGGTTCCACACTCTGGTCTCAGCTACTTCAAGATGCTAAACAACTGCATGGTGTAAATAAGATCAGGAGACTAGAAAGCACTGACTTACTGAATACAGGTCATGCCCACTTAACTTTAAAAATTTTGTTATTATTGTGTGTGTGTGTGTATGTATAAGCATGCATGCCACAACACGTGTGTGGAGGTCAGAGGACAACCCTGTAGAGTCAGTTCTCCTTCCAGCTTTACATGGGTTCTGGGGATTAAACCCAGCTTCAAAGGCTTTCACAGCAAATGCTTCACTCACTCTACCATCTCGATGTCTTACACACTTAACCTTAACTTCTTTACCTTTTTTTTGGAGGGGGGGCGTCTTTTTTGAGACAGGGTCTCTCTGTAGCCCCAGCTGGCCTGGAACTCACTATGTAAGCCAGGCTGGCCTTGAACTCACAGAGATCCGGCTGCCTCTGCCTCCCGAGTGTTGGATCAAAGGCATGCTCTACCATGCCCGGCTTCATCTTTACCTCTTATCTGAACTCTTCAAGAGTTTCTTCCAAATCAATGTTATCAGCCAGAGGAACATTTCTTTCCTTTTGTAGTGCTGGGAACTCAGAGCTTTGTACAACTGAGACAAGCACTGTACTACTGAGCTACATCCCCAGCCGAGATGAATCTTTTCAAAATGCAAACCTTGTTAAGCCACTTTGGTAGTTACAAATCCACACCAGTAAAGCCTGGCTTGGATGCTCAGCCTGCTTTCTAGCCATGCTAAGTATGCTCCCCCCTCCCCCACCGACCCTTTTATAGTCTTTTTGAGACAGGGTCTCCCTGTAGCCCCAGGCTGGCCTTGAACTCACAGAGATCCACCTGCTTCTGCCTCTACCTCCTCTGCGACACCACGCCTGGCCTTCACTCCCTTTATCTTATGAAAACCAGAACACTGACTGGCCTTTCTGTTTCTTAGACATACCACACCTTGTTCTGTCCCTGGGCTCTGCATCTTCTAGTGAACTCTCTCACTGACTCCTCTACTGAGAGTTCTGATAACAACTTGTAATTACAAATATACCTGAGTAATGTCAAGGGCTCTAAGGTTATGGACTCTGCCATATTTGTACTTTGAAACAGTAATGGGCACATAGTAGGTCCTCATAATACCAAGTAAATAGATAAGATGGGGGCTGATAAGATGGCTCAGTGGGTAAAGATGCTTGCCACCAAACCTGAAGACCTGAGTTTGATCCCTAGGACCCATAGGTTGGCAAGGGAAAAGCAGCTCCTGAAAGTCCTCTGACCTTCACACTCCAATGCTGTGCCGTGTGTACAGTGCACACACATGGCATCTTGGGACACCAGTGAGTGAAGTTCTTATCAATTTTTTGGGGGGGTCTTTTTTTTTTTTGAGACAGGGTCTCTCTGTAGCCCTAGTTGGCCTGGAACTCACTATGTAGACCAGGCTGGCCTTGATTGAACTTACAGAGCTCTACCTGCCTCTGCCTCCCAAATGCTGGGACTAAAGGTGTATGGCCATCATGCCCAGCTAGTTCTTATCAATTTAATCTTGATTCAGCTCAATCTTGTAAGAACATTATTAGCAAATGTTTGTTAGCAACTGTTACAACTGGGCATACTCCACATACTCATTCCTGGAGTAAAGTAGTAAATCTGGCCTCTTAGGAACTTGGTTAACTTAAATTTAATAGTCTCTGACAAGCAGATTGGTTTTCACTGTACTGCAGAATAAAGCTTTGTCCCTCCAAGCTGAGGTTCAGGCTTGGCTTGAAGCTTTCTTTCTGAGGCTGTTATATGAGCAACTAGTCAGTCAACCTCCCCAAAGAAATTTCTCTCTCATCTTTTTATAATTACCTGCTTAGGGCTGCTTAGTTCTTATAGCTCTGATTAGGACGAAATTTCCATCTTTCACAATTAACAGTTTCACAGTCAAGCAAAGAATCTGGCTGATGCTGACAATCCCTATTAATAACAGCAGCAGACACAGGCAAACCAGTTCTCTAGTGTCTTGGGAACACAGTCATTTAATAAACCTGATGTCATGTCTCCTGACCACACCTGAGACGCAGGAAGGCAAAAAGGGTGCTAGTCCCAATGCCACCAAAAGGGGCTATGGCGAGCTGAAGGTGACCCACCAAGCTCCTGCAGAGTGAGACAGCTCTTAGCTACCTAATTCTCGTGTCCTGAACCACAGTTTGTTTTCCCAGCTTGCCTTTTTTAAAAAAAAAACCTTTTTTTTTTTGAGACGGTCTTACTATATACCCCTGGCTGGCCTGGAACTCCCTTTGTAGCCCAGGCTGGCCTTGCATTCAGAGATCTATCTCTGCCTCTGGAGTGCTGGGATTAAAGGCATGTTCCACCATGCTCAAACTTTAAAAAAACAAACAAAACAAAACAACTTAAAAGGGAGGAACAGCTGGGCGTGGTGGCTCACCTTTCATCCCAGCACTCGGGAGGCAGAGGCAGGCAGATCTCTGTGAGTTCAAGGCCAGCCTGGTCTACACAGTGAGTTCCAGAACAGCTGGGGCTATAAGGAGACCCTGTCTCAAAAAGACCAGGAAAAAAAAAAAAAAAAAAAAGGAGGAACAAAATAGTCCTGCCCAGAGCTTTGTTCTGAGACAAGTGAAATAACGTCTCTGTCTTGGCAATGGCACTTATTTAAGATACTTCTTTTCCTCTGTCAGCAAGAGCCCCAAGAGCTATCCTTTTTTTCCTTTTTTTTTTTTTCCGTCTTTTTGAGACAGGGTCTCCCTGTAGACCCAGCTGGTCTGGAACCCACTATGTAGATCAGGCTGGCCTTGAACTCACAGAGATCTGCCTGCCTCTGCCTCTGGAGTTCTAGGACTAAAGGCGTGTGCCACCATGCCTGTCAATACCTATCTTGACATAAATGGACTACTGATGTTTCCCCTAAATACCACTGACAAAAAGAGTAGGTCTCTTAGTGGATTCCACAGACTGAAACTTGCACCTGCTTTGGCTCTTTGACCTTACCTGCTCCAGGCAGCTCCGACAGGCCTCTTGGATCAGCTGTTCTGCGTCCACCTCTTCCCCCACATTGTCTCGTACATTTAATGCTGCCTTCTGGAAGAACTAGGGAAGAACATTAAAAGACCAGGTGAGAAGCCTTGCAAAATTGCATTAACCCAAGGAAATGGAATAAACAAGGAGCTTTTCCCCTCGTCTCATGCAGAAGAGAGGAGTGATTGGCTATGGCAGGTTCTACCCATTCCTCTATTCTCTTTCTCTAAAAGAAATTTTTTTTACATTTATTTATTTGAATGTATGTGCGCATATATGCAGAGGTCAAAGGACAACATGTAGGAATAGTTCTCTCCTCCACCATATGGGTCCCAGTTAGTCAGCAGGATGATTATATACTCTCTGAAGGATATAATCACAGAGGTGCCCAAAGGTCTATTTGTAAACAGAACACACACTCACAAAGAATAGCCTAAATGTCCAGGCATAGCTTAAGTAAATTATGGCATAGCCACACCATGGAATACTATGCAAATATCAAAATTCGCAGCAAAGATAGTGTAAATTAAAAAAAAAAATGTTTGTTTATAGCCAGGCGTGGTGGCACATGCCTGTAGTCCCAGCACTTGGGAGGCAGAGGCAGGTGGATCTCTGTAAGTTCCAGGCCAGCCTGGTCTACATAGTGAGTTCCAGGACAGCTGGGGCTACAGGGAGACTCTGCTTGAAAAAGATAAAAAAACAAAAAATTACTTTATTAGTTTTTTTATTTTATGCATATGAGTGTATTGCCTGCATGTATGGGAATGCACTCATGTTGTGCAATGCTACGGAGGTCAGTAGAGGGCTTTGGAGTCCCCTGGAACTGGAGTTAAGGACGGTTTGTAGCCACCATGTGGGTGCTGGGAATCAACCCCAGGTCCTCTGCAAGAGCAATCAGTGTAAATTTTTTATTTGTTAAAAATTTCTACTACTTTTTTGTCTGTGCTGTTTGTGCACTCCCCATGGTACCCATGTGGAAGTCAGAGGCAGGAGTTGGTTCTCTCCTTCCACCATATGGGTTACAGGCTCAAACTCAGGTTGTCAGGCTTGGTGGCAGGAACCTTTTCCTGCTAAGCACCTTTACCTATCTCACTGGCTCAGAGGTTTTTTTCATTCAAAAAAATTATATATATATTTTAAAGACAGAGTCTCCCTGTAGCCCCAGCTGGCCTGGAACTCTCTATGTAGACTATGCTGGCCTCAATCTCATAGAGATCCACCTGCCTCTGCCTCCCAAGTGCTGGGATTAAAGGTGTGTGCCATCACACCCCGCTCAAATTCAGTATTTTTTTAAGACAGGGTCTTGCTATGTAGTCTGGGATGGCCTCAAACTCACAATTCTCCCACTTCTACCTTCTGAGCACTGGGATTACAGGTGTGCACTACCATACTTGGCAAGATTTTTCTTTTTTGGAGACACGGTCCCAGTAGCTCTGGCTGCCTGGAACTCACGGTGTAGACTATGCTGGCCTTGAACTCATAGAGTTCTGCCTGCTTCTACCTGCCTCTTGAGTGCTGGGTAAAAGGCCCACAACACTATGCCTGGCCTAAATACTTATCTTATCTACCGCTGAGCTGCATCTCCAACCTTGAATACACATTGTTGACACAAAAATCCATTCACAATATGACAAACAAAGCATGGAGGTTATATTTCAGTACAGAATAAGCCTATTTATGTAAAACAGCCCTAAAACAAACATAGATTATGAATATATGTACATATGCAATGGTGGATATAAATTATGGATGTCTGCTCTGCTTATGCATAGCCCCTCAATTTTTATAATGTGCATGTGAAAAAAAAAAAGCCTGAGCATGAAGTGAATGGGCCAAGGTAAGCCAAAAAAGATCTAGACAGCGGAAAGTCTTGACTGGATTTTCACTGTTCAACCCTCAATCTGTTGGACAAGAAAAAGGGAGACCTGGCAAGGGTACTAGGGTACCAACAACCCCAACAGCAAAGGCAAAGTAGGACAGAAGCTTCCTCTGCTGGGTAAGAGGGAGAGTTTGAGTCTAAAAATACCAGGGAACAAGGTGGCAAGGCCCCAAATACACCTGAAAGGTGCCTGGGAACACATTTACTTAAAAGTGTTCAAGTTGGGCCAACAAGATGCCTCGGTGGGTTAAAGAATTTGCCACCAAACATGATGCCCTGACTTGATCTTCAGACAAACAGTGGAGGGAGAAAACTCTTTACAGCAAGTTGTCCTCTGACCTTCACATGTGTTCTGTGGCACAAGTGCACCCACATGGAGACACTACACGTCAAGTAAATAAATAAATGAAAAAAAAAAGTGTCCAAGTTGTGGGGCTGGAGAGATGGCTCAGTGGTTGAGTGCTTGCTGCTCTTACAGAGAACTAGAGTTCAGTTCCCAGCACCTACACCAGCAACTCCAGCTCCAGGGGATCCAATGCCCATTTCTAGCCTCCAGGGGCACCTGTACACATGTATGTAAACACACACACACACACACACACACACACACACACACACATATCTTAAAAAAGTTTCCAAGTTGTGTCTCTGAAAAGACAGTGTCACTTCTCTCTGGGATACAGAAAAGTTCTGGAGACTACATAACTAGTGTTCCTCCTGTGGGAAGTAACTATGAAGATACACTGCCACTTTATATTTAGCAAGTTCAAATGCTTGTGTTGTTGATATCAAACCAAGAAGAGCATGTGGAATGAAGAGACTTAAAAAATTTATGTGTATGAAAATTTTGTCTACATGCATGTACATGGGCCATCTATGCAGTGCCCTTGAAAGCTAGAAGAGGATACTGGATGGCCTTGGAGAGATGGCTCAGTGGTTTAGGGCACTGGCTGCTCTTGTAGTGGGGTCCTACCATCCACATGATGACTAACAACTGTTTGTAATCCCAGTTCCAGGGGATCCAATGGTGGCTGCTGGGAACTGAACTGGAATGAGCAAGTGCTCTGAACCATTGAGTCATCTCTCTAGCCCTCTGGATTAGAGGCTGTAACAATACTGGAGAAATTCAAGGCCAAATTAAAATGTTCAGATGAGTCTGGCTTTTTTTTTTGGTCTTTTAGAGACAGGGTCTCCCTGTAGCCCCAGCTGTCCTGGAGACCAGGCTGGCCTTGAACTCACAGAGATCCCTCTGCCTCTGCCTCCCGAGTGCTGGGATTAAAGGCGTGTGCCACCAAGCCCAGCTTTAAAAAATATTTTATTTTTTAATTTTATTTTATGTGTATGTGTGTATTATTGCATGTAGGTAAGTGCACCTGTGTTGTGCAGTGCCCGCGGAGGACAGAAGAGACTGTCAGATCCCCTGCAACTGGAGTTACAATTGTTAGCTGCCATATGGGTGCTGGGATTCGAACCTGGGTCTTCTTCAAGAACAGCCAGTGTTCTTAACCTCTGAGCCATCTCTCCAGCCCGAGTCTGTTTTTTTTTACTAATTTATTATGTGGTGCTGGGAATCAAATTGAGGGCTTAGTACATGCTAGGCAAGTATTCCATCACTGAGCTATATCCCCAGCCCAGTTGAGTTTGATTTGAAAACAAAAAACTAAAAACTGAAGATAGGAGCTGGCTCAGAGGTAAGAGCACTTACTGCTCTTACAGAAGACCCAGGTTTCATTCTTAGAATTTACATCAGGTGGCTCATAACCACCTGTAACTCCAGTTCCAAGTGATCTGATGCCCTCTGACCTCCACAGGTGCCTGCATGTACTTGGTGCACATAAACTCACACAGGCACATATAGATGCATATAAATAAGAAAACAACAAAATAACTGAAGATAAAAACCAGTGTTTGATATTAATTACTGGCCAAGTGAAAATCAGTTAAAATAATTTGTATACCTTTTTTTGGATTTCTTTTTATCTTCTATGCATGTGTGTTTTGCCTGCAGGTATGTAAGTGCACCATGTGCAAGCAATGCCTGTAGAGACCAGAAGAGGGTGTTAGATTCCCCTGAAACTGGAGCTATGGACAGCTGTTTAGCTGTCACGTTGGTGCTAGGAACTGAACCCAGGTTCTCTGTATGGGCAGCCAATGCTCTTAAATGCCAAGCCATTTCTCTAAGCCTTATTTTGGATACTTTTAAAGTAGCCCATGGGAGGGCAGGGTGGTGGATATGTGGGGGTGAGTAAATTACCTCTGGATTGAGAATGAAGTCAGACTATAAAACTCTTTCAAACACTATTGGTAGAAAATCAAACAGCACAACCTGGAGAGCAATTTTCTTTCCCTACTATTTCTAATTCCATCCATGTCATTTATCCCTAAGAAACATTCTCAAGTGAATAAAGATATACATCTACAGGGCTCACTGTAGTATTTCCTAAAACAGAGCAAAATTGTAAACAACCTGAATCCTGTAGGTATTAGTTCATTAAATTATGGAACATTCACAAATCAGACTATGCTGTATTTTTTTTTTTTTTGGTCTTTTTGAGACAGTGTCTCCCTGTAGCCCTAGTTGGTCTGGAACCTACTATGTAGACCAGGCTGGCCTCGAACTCACAGAGATCTGCCTGCCTCTGCCTCCCAAGTGCTGGGACTACAGGGATATGCCACCATGCCTGGCCATGCTGTAACTATTATAAAAGAATTAGCTGGGCATGGTGGCGCATACCTTTAATCCCAGCACCCGGGAGGCAGAGGCAGGCGGATCTCTGTGATTTTGATATATCACAGTGAAAGATTTATCGTCCTCTTTTTTTTTTTTTTTTTTTTTTTTTTTTTAAAAAAAAAAAAAAAAAAAAAAAAAAAAAAAAAAAAAAGAATTAGAGTGAGCTATTGTGTAATAACCTAGAAACATGACCAAAATTTATTAAATAAATCAAGTTGAGAATAGTGTGTATAAAATTACCTTAAAAAAAACAGCAATAAAGCTGGGCATGGTGGCGCATGCCTGTAGTCCCAGCACTTGGGAGACAGAGGCAGGCGGCTCTCTGTGAGTTCAAGTCCAGCCTGGTCTACATAGTGAGTTCCAGGGCAGCTGGGGCTACAGGGAGACCCTGCTTCAAAAAGACAAAAACAAAACAAAACAGCAATAATAAAACCCCTATAGGTGTGTGCACCTGTACATGTGTAAAACAAAGTGACACTATGGTGTCTCTGGGAGTTGAGCCATGTTGGTGCCGAGTTTCAAACTCAGGTCTTCTATAAGAACAACCAGTGCTCTTAACCGCTGAGCCGTCTCTCCAGCCCCCATACAATACATCTCAATCATATTTAGCAGCCCCCCCCACCGGATTTCAGGAATTATGTTATCCATGTTAAGGCTTATCTTGTCAAGTTTGTGTCCCCAGATATCCCTCTGTGTGAGTTCACTCCCTGGAGCCTGGTCAGCCTATCTAGAGTCACTCCCTTAAAGGCCAATTCTCCCCCACCAGGAGTAATTAGCTGTAATAGTTCCTCAGCTAAGGCAGGGCTTCTTACTCATTTCCCCAGTTCTATGCTGGGTTTTTGCCTGGTTTGAGTTTGAATGGGTCTTATGAATGCCATCACTACTGCTGTAAATTCTTATGAGCAAATTCTCAGCCACCTGGAAAACTGTTTCCTTGTGGTCATCCACCACCCCTGGCTCTTACAGTCTTTCTGCTCCGTCTTCCGCAATGGTCCCTGAGCCCTGGGTGGCAACAGCAGAGTTCTACAACTGGTCAAACACAGAGAATACGTTTGTGAGATGCCCAGCTCTAAGTGACATATCTACAATGGAACCTCACACCTAAGGCTCACTGAACATAATGGGACAGGGAGTAGAGAGAATACTAATGCAGCTCTCCACTCTCACCAGTGAAGCTTCTTCATGCAACAGAGGGTGATTAACACAGAAAGTCACAACTGGCCAAAATGTAGTGAATAGGAGACTGCAGGCTGAGTATCCCTGAATAGGATTCCTCTATTAAACCCTACCTCTTTTTCCCGTTTTTTTTTTTTTTTTTTTTTTTTTTTCTGGTTTACCTTGCTGAACATCTCTGTGCTCCTGAGGCTTTGAGGCTGGCCTCAATCTCACAGAGATCTGCCTGCCTCTGCCTCCCAAGTGCTGGGATTAAAGGCATGTGCCACCATGCCTGGCTTCCTACCCCTTGCTCTGGAAACTGTTATTGAGTATGTTAAAGCTGTGATGAAATGCTTCTTCTAAAAAAAAAATTAATAAAAATAATCCATTTCCCTGCAAATAGTATGGGATTTGCATGCATAAACTTTATTGTGCATTTATACCACATTTTTGTTACTTATTTATTTGTTGATAGGCATTGTTTTGAGGTGGTTATTAAATGTTCTCCAGAGGTCCATTTACTTGAAAAAAAATTAATTTTATTTTTATTTACTATTTTTATTTTATGTAAATGTCTGTATTGCCTGCATGTAGGTAAGTGTACCCATGTCGTGCAATGCCTGCGGAAGACAGAAGAGGCTGTTGGATCCCCTGGAACTGGAGTTATGGACAGTTGTCAGCTGCCATGTGGGTGCTGGGATTTGAACCTGGGTCTTCTGTAAGAACAGTCAGTGTTCTTAACTTCTGAGCCATTGCTCCAGCCCCAAAATATTTTATTTTTATATATATGTCTGTAAGCCATGTGTGTGCAGGTCCCCTCAGAGATCAGAAGGGAGTGTTGGGTTTCCTGGAGCTAGAGTTAGAGTTATAGTTGGTCAAGAGTGGTTTGATGTGGGTGCTAGGAACTAAGCTCAGGTGCTCTGGAAGGGTAGCAAGTATTGTTAACTACTAAGCTATCTTTCTAGCACCCCCAGTTTTGGGGGGAGGTAAGGGGTCTTGCTATATATTGTCCAGACTAGTCTTCAACTTGGGCCCCTACTGCTTCAGCCTCCTGGGTAGCTGCATATGCCACTGCAGCACCTGGCTTGTTTTAGTTCTGTAGTGCTGGGGACTAAATCCCGGTTAGCTTTAATCCTTGTGTCCCTCTCACCTTCATGTACTTGTTGAAGACAGTCTGGATCTCCTCATTGATACTAGGCTGCAAGACAGCACGGAGGAGATCCATAGAGATGGCAGGATCTGTGAAACTGCATTCAGGAGGGAGACAGAATCAGGGGAGTGTCCCAAACACCCTTTCCCAGAATGCCCAGCCATTATTGACACAGGATTCTTTAATAGCAATACCAGACAGATTTCCCTGAAAACCAGTGTTGTGCTCAGCTTCTGGACAAATCTCATATACACATCACTTAATTTTACTCTCATAACTGTGAAGTGAGAATTATTTTCAAAGTGCTTTGTAAAATATTAACAAATGATTATCACTACCCCAGCTCAAAAAATATGCTAATCAGCATCCCAAAGACCCATCCTGGGCTCTCCCTTCCCTGGATACCTAACTTAGCTTCACTGTACTAAAAAGGGTTAAGTGGCTTGTCCAAGGTCCAGTTAGAGTCCTGTTTTAACACTCATATCTCCTTAGAGGTCTTAACCATGGAGCCAGCGAAAGTTAGGGGTCCTAAATACACTGTTTTGGCCTCCCCGCTTTGCAGATGAGTTTGCAGGTGGAATTGACTTAAAAGTCGTAGGAAGAGTTATAGAACCCAAGCCTCCTTTCCCCCAGCCCAGTGCTCTTTCTACGGGTTACAGCTGTCTCCTGACTCCTGCAGTGGGGATCCATTCCAAAGCTCTCACCCAAGTCTGTGCTTGGGATTAAGTCCCACCCAGGGCCAGCTTTACCTTGTGGTCATCTGAGAGCGACGGCCCCTTCTCTGCACCTGCCGGTGCTTTATCATTATGTTCCAAGGGTTCTGTGGGGATCAAGTGGGGAAATGTCACCGAGGCCCTGCACTGTGGGGCGGAGGAGAGTGCATATGGGAGCGGGACCTGCTTCTCACTCGTCCCATTTGGGGGCGCTGTCCAGAGGTTGGAAGACCCTGCCAGGGTGGAGGAACTGGGGAAATGTTTACTCCCCAAAGTCCCAAACCCGCCTTTTTTTCTGGAAGGGCGGCAGGAGAGCCGCAGTGGCAGGTGAGGACACGGCGGGCGCGGTGCCCCCTGGAGCATCCCATTCCCACGGCCGCGTCATCAGCTGGGGCTAATTCTGCTCATTTCACAGAGGAGGAACTCGGCTCCCGGGGGTGGCGGCTCGGGCCGCGGCAGCCCCACTCGAATCTGAACCCGGACGGTCGGACTGGGAAAACGGCAGCCCGGGCCGCCACCGCCGCGTTCTCTCGCCCGCAGGCCCGGGTCCTGGGAGCCCGAGGCCCTGCCCGGCCCGAGCCGCGGCCTCGCCCGGGCACCCTCACCGTGAGAACCGGCGGCCCCGCCGCGCCCACGTCGCCCAGCTCCAGGCCGCCCCGTTCCGCCCCGCCTGGGCCTCGCGGCTGTTCGGCGTCGCCAGTCTCCCCCATGGCGCCCCCCAGCCCACAACACCCTCAGCTCCACTCAGTCACCGGAAGGCGGTGCCGTGACGTCACGGCAGCGCGCGGGCCGCCCGCCGGAAGCGCGGCCATGGAGTGGCGTGGGGTCGCCATGGGAACCGAACTGCCGCCTGCGAGCCGGATCCGTGTGGATGGAGCCATCTTGGGTGTGGGGACGATGTTGGGGGCACGGATGTGGCAGGGACAGAGCAGGCTTGCGTGGGCCGGCGGTGGCGAGCAGAGGGATGGGGGCCTGCGGTTCAGCCTTTGAAAAGGCAGCAGCTTCTGCACGAGTCCCTGTCTAATACAGGGACCAGGAAACCCAACAGAAGGAGGGCTACTCTTTGCCCTCCCAAACACCAAACATCACAGCATCAGCCTTTGACTTTGGGGCGGGGGGAAGACAGCAGCCACTTGGGTCTGAAGGCATCAGGGTAAAGGTTAGTTTTGGCTTGTGAACTTCCCCTATTCTAGGGAGCCGGGATTCTCTGAGATGGATGGGGAAGAGGGGATTAACAGCGGTGGCATCCTCCAGATGCCTTAGCACTTAGCACATCCCTTAGCACTGTCTGAAGAGGTAAGCTGTCCCTGAATAGAATTGGATTCATTTATGGGTGGTAAAGAAAGTTACTCTAACCAGGTCACAATAGTCAGTTTAGTGTATGAGTTTTGCATTTGGAAAAGATCTAGGTTCATATCTTATGTGATATGGACTTTAAGAACATTGGCTATGGCGAGGTTTGATGTTGCACATCTGTAAACCCAGAACTCAGGAAGAAGTCGCCAGGAGATTGTCGCGTTTGAGGCCAGCCTGGGCTGCCTAGCAAGACAAAGACCAAGAACATTGCCTGTGGGACTGCATTACCTGCCTTTGTTCTACTGCGAGCTAACTGTGTGATCCCTCTCCCCCCCTTCCTCTACCCCTTTTCCTCTCTCCCCCTCTCCCCCTTTCTCTCTCGTCCCCTTTCTCCCTCTCCTCCCCTCTCCATCTGTCCATGGTCTCAAGTATTCTAGGCTGAACTCAAACAGGTGTACATCACATCTGGTTTATGTAGTATTGGAGACTGAACCCAGGGCTACTCACATGCTAAGCAAACGCTCTACTAACCGAGCTACCTCCCCAGCCCAACTTTTCTTAAGCTTCCTGTGCCTCAGTTTCCCTGGCTGTAAAATGAAACAATAGCACCCAGTTGATAGTGGGGATTGGCTTAATTATTGCAAATCGCTTAAAACTATGGCACAAGTAAATCCTCAAATAATGCTTTAGTTACTATAATAGTGACTTTCAGCAGCCTCCACTGAGACCTTTTTTCCTCAGCTTCTCTGAATCAATCTTCTTACCTCTGCAAGATTGTTTTGTGCATGAAAATCAGCAAATGCTAATTATATCCATGCTCCAACATCAACCTTATAAGGGCAACTTCCTTTCACCAAACTCTTGTGCTGTTTTTTTTTTTTTTTTTTTTTAAAGATAAGATATATCTTCCCCTGTAGCTCCAGGTTGGTCCATAACTCACTATGCGGCCCAGACTGACCATGAACTTATAATCCTCCTGCCTCTGCCTCCTGCAAACAGGTACTACGATGCCTGGCTCTTAGGATGTATGGAGGAGATTTTTACTTTGTGCCTTGGACATCCCTGGTCCATTAACCTTACAGGGCTCAGCACAGCCAGTGGACACCATTAAGTATCACAGCTGACCAAGGGCACAGGAAACACATAAATAAGAAGCAGAGGAAGAGGTGATAAAGGGGGCATATATAGGTAAGACTAGTCATAGCAAACATTCTCTTGAATTTTGACAACTATTCTTATTTGACCTAAGAGTGGCCTCTGTAGGCAAAAGGGACCAAGACATTGGCTTCTGCTGCATTTGTATTGATGCCGAAAAACTCAAATACTACTTTTCTGTGTTTTATTGCCCCCTCTAGGAATATCTTTATGATTTGCCCTTTTGAACAGACATGAATTTCTTACATATACAAATAGCAAAGCAAATTTAAAAGGGACAAAAGCAAATTCTAGAATAACATACAAACTGGAACAAATGATGCTATATAAAATGAGAAAAATACTTCTCAGAAATGATTTCAGGCCAGGTGTCATGGCATACACCTTTAATCCCAGTGCTTGGGAGGCAGAGGCAGACAGATCTCTGTGAGTTTGAGGCCAGCCTGGTCTACATAGTGAGTCCCAGGCCAGCTGGGGCTACAGGGAAGCCCTGTCTCAAAAAGACCAAAAAAGAAAAAGAAAAAAAAAATTGACTTCAAGCCAGGCATGGTGGCACAGGCCTTTAATCCCAGCACTCAGGAGGCAGAGGCAGGTGGAACTCTGTGAGATCCAGACCAGCTGTGACTACAGAGAGACCCTGTCTTAAAAAGACCAAAAAATGGGCTGGAGGGATGGCTCAGAGGTTAGGAGCACTGACTGCTCTTGCAGAGGACCCGGGTTCGATTCCCAGCACCCACATGGTGGCTACGAACTGTCCTTAGCTCCAGTTCCAGGGGAATCTGAAGCCCTCTTCTGACCTCCGCAACATTGCACGACACAGGTGCACTCGCATGCAGGCAATACACTCATACACATAAAAGAAAAATAACAAAATATGTATTTTTAAAAAAGCACAAATTTAAAAAAAGACCAAAAAAATCAAATTAATTTAGTATACAGGACTTTGTGCATCCTCATTGGGATCTATGAACAATAAAACAATCTACAACTTTTTACAAGAATTTTATCAGAAGTACTACCATCATTTTCTTTTATGTATGTTATAAAATAATGCAAATGAGTTATCAATGTCATTAAGCAAGATAAATATAAAATCAACAAGGTGGCAGTTTCCAGTGTTCTGTATCATTCTGTATTTTCTAGGCTGCTAGGATGAATAGGAGCCACTGTGTTATGCTTTGGCTATTTTATTAGCTCAGCTCTTCTGTCATTCTTTCCAGTCCTTCCCTGTGCCACGTTGACTGCAGCTGGATCCTTCCAAAGCCCTCTAGGCCTCTCTCTGACCTTCTATCCAATGGCTATCCCTCCATTTTCCCAGCTTCCCTCTGGGCTCCTCATCACTTCTCCAACGGTGTTGTGTATATTGTGCTGCAGAATTTGGTTCCTCCCATTACATGTGCTCTTTGGTAGTGCCAGGAACTTTCCCACACACCAGCATACAATCACTCTTCTTATTAGGACAAGACATTCTTGGGGATTATTGCATAAGTGAAAACTTTGGGATTGGGCTGAGGACCATCACCTAGCCCTACCCTTTCCTCCGTTGATACCTCTGGCCTGAACTGAGCTTTCATCTCAACTCTCAAAATCATCAGGATGTTAAGCTGTCTCTTCCTGAAGGCACTTCTTGTTCTTGGGTCCTTGGCATTGTGGGTGACTGCAAGAGAGCAAGGTGAGCTATCATTTGGGATTCCTGATGACAGCAGTAGAAAGTGTCTAGGAGAGAAGCCATCCCCTGCTTTCTCCCAGAATAAGGTTCCTCACTCAGGGGGATGATTATCTCTGTAGGAAGGGCTGGAGGGACAGATTGTCAGGACAGGGAGGATAAGTCTTCTTTTGATACTCTTTCTGGACAAGGAAATAGGACTTACAAAGAGATAGGTTCCAGCTCTTCTCTATAGCTCATTAGATGGAAACTGGACCCCCTGCTGGTCCTTTATTTTACTTTTTAATACTGTATTATTTTTATGTGTATGAGTGGATTGTGTGCATGTGTGTAAGTGCACCCATGTCTTGCAATGCCCATGGAGGTCAGAAGCGGGTATTGACTCCCCTGGAACTGGAGCTATGGATGATTGTTAGCCACCATATGGGTGCTAGGAATCAAACCCGTGTCTTCTGCAAGAACAGCCAGTGCTCTTAACTGTCCAGCCCCTGCTGGTACTTTAGTAGTGGTGGATGGGTAAAAGCAGTGTGGCAGGAGAGAAGGAGGTTGCAGGGATATTCTGCATGAGAATGGAAGAACTGCAATCCTTGAGTAAGTTGTCTCTCATTCCTCTTTTTTTTTTTTTTTTTTTTTTTGGTCTTTTTGAGACAGGGTCTCTCTGTAACCCCAGCTGTCCTAGAACTCACTATGTAGACCAGGCTGGCCTTGAACTCACAGAGATTCGCCTACCTCTGCTTCCCAAGTGCTGGGATTAAAGGCGTGTGCCCAGCTACTCTCTCTCTTTTTAAAAAAATATTTTATTTTTATTTTATGTGTATTTATTTTATTTATGTGTATTTTATATTTTATTATTTTTATTTTATGTGTATTTATTTTATTTTATGTGTATTGTTTTTATTTTATTTTTATTTTATGTGTATGAGTGTATTGCCTGCATGTATGTGAGTGCACCCATGTCGTGCAATGCTGTGGAAGTCAGAAGAGAGCTTTGGATTCCCCTGGAACGGTTTGTAGCCACCATGTGGGTGCTTGGAATCAAACCTGGGTCCTCTGCAAGAGCAGTCAGTGCTCTTAACCGCTGAACCATCTCTCCAGACCCATCTTTTTTTTTTTTAAAGACTTATTTATGTGTACCTAGCTGTGTGTGAATGTGTCATAAGCTCATAAGCATGCGAGTGCCCGCAGAGGCCAGAAGAAGGCATCAGATCTCTTGGAGCTGGAGTTAAAGGCAGTTATGAGCCACCAGACATGGGTGCTGGGCCCTGAACTCTGGTCCTCTAGAAGAGCAGCATATGCTCTTGACCTCTGAGCCATCTCTCCAGCCCCTATTCCTTACCATGTCTTGAGGCTCAGCCAATTATCTCAACCACCTATGAAATCTTTTTCAGTGAAAGAGGGACAATGCCCCCCTGACAAGAATCCATGCAAAGACCTGTGCCAGAGCGATGCCTTGTGTCCTGCTGGGCAGAAGTGCTGCAGCACAGGCTGTGGCTGGGCCTGCCAAGGAGACCTCCCCAAGGGTATGTTGGTATGACGGGCAAAATCCCAGTGTGATCTCTGGCCTTGTCTCTTGCATGGATAGAACCAGAGAGCTTCCCACCTCCTGGATTGGCTCCTAAAATTTAGCTTGCCTTGGACCCCTCTCCTGTCCTCTTTTTGGGTTCCTACTAAAAAATATGTGTTTGAGTGTTTTACCTACATGTATGTAAGTGCACCCATACTGTGCAATGCCCACAGAGTCCAGAAGAGTGTCTTGGATCCCCTGGATCTGGGTGAAGGACAGTTGTCAGATGCCATGTAGATGCTGGGAACTGAACCTGTGTCCTTTGCAGGGGTGCCAGTGCTTTGAACAGCTGAGCCATCTCTCCTGCCCTTGGAACCCTTCTTTGCCATTCTTCATTCCAGCTCTGTCTTCTATCAGGAAAAAAAGTGCCCTGTTTTTTACTTTGGACTCAGAGGTCTTGTGAGTCTGAAGGACTGTTGTGAAGGGAAACCTGCTTAAGACAGTGATTAAGCCAGGTGTGGTGGCACACACCTTTAATCCCAGCACGGGAGGTATCCTGTGTAGGTTCTCTGGGAGCCTGATCTGCTACAGGGAGGCCCTGTCTCAAGCAAATTAACAAAAGAAAAAAAGCTAGTGATTAAGAGACCTTGGGGATTGGGGAGGTGAGGTGACTCAGTAGGACCTTGTCATCCTACGATGTAAGCCTGATGATCTGAGTTCCATTCCCAGTACTGACAAAGGTAGAAGAGAACTTACTCCACAAAGCTGTCGTCTGACTTTAATTTGCATGCTGTGGCACATGGGCCTCCCCACAATAATTTTTTTTAGGGGGGGGGACAGGGTCTCTCTGCAGCCCCAGCTAGCCTGGAACTCACTATGTAGACCAGCCTGGCCTTGATCTCACAGAGATCCGCTTGCCTCTGCCTCCGGACTGCTGGGACTAAAGGTATAAGCCACCATGTCTGGCCACAATAATAATTTTATTGTTTTATTTTTAATTAAAATTAAAAAAAAATTTTTTTAGCCAGGTGTGGTACACGCCTTTAGTTCCAGCCAGCACTCCGAGGCATAGATGGTTCCAGGCCAGCTGGAGCTATAGGGAGACAAAGTATTTTGCCTGCACAAATATAAGTGTACCGTGCTTGTGCAATGCCTACGGGTGCTGGGAACTGAACCTAGGTTCTCTGGAAGAACAGCCTGTGCTCTTAACCCCTGAACCACCTCTCCAGCCCCCAAAGGGCACCCACATGGCAGCTCCAATTTTAGAGGATCTGATGACCTTTTCTAGCCTCTGTGAATATTACACATATAGGTGCACTTACACACATGTAGGCAAAATACTCATACACATAAAACAGAAGTAAATAAAATTTAAAAAATTATTTTAAATAATTTATTGAGAATTTCATGCATGCATATAAGGTGTTTTGATCAAATCCATGCCCACTCCCTCCCCTCCAACTCCTCCTATATTTCCCCATCACTTTTTTCAGATAACTTCATGTACTCTTTCTTCTTTCTTTTATGGGGCTTTTTGCTACTCTAACATTCCCCCCTCTGAAGTGGTAACCCTAAAATTATTTAGAGATTAGATAAGAGCTCCCAAATACTTTTGACATTTTTTGGCATTTGAAACAGAATATGTTGCTAAGAGGCTGAAGGACATTTTGATTTTCAGTTAAGAAACTGGCTACTTTTCTTTGGGGTCTTTTTACCCTAACTGCCTAGCCAATTCCTACCTCCTATTCTTATCACACCATCCTTTGAAGAGAGGTAACCCTAAAATCTTTTAAGGTTAGATAAAAGCTCCCAAATATTTTCAACATTTGGAACAGAATATGTTGCTAAGAGGCCCAAAGACATTGTGAGTTTTAGCCAAGAAATTGGCTACTTTTCTTTGGGGTCTTTTTACCCTAGCTGCCTAGCCAATTCCTACCTCCTATTGTCACATCATCCTCTGAAGAGGTTACCCAAATTGCAAATAGGGAATCAGGATGCAGACTGCTCTGGCTCCTTCCATGCTGAACAGGGACGCAGGGTGAGGCAATTGGGGTACCCCTTCAGTGGGTCTATCTAAAAGACTCCCAAATTGCATTTTTTTTTCTGTCTTTTTGAGACAGAGTCTCCTTGTAGCCTCAGCTGTCCTGGAACTCACTATGTAGACCAGGCTGGCCTTGAACTCACAAAGATACACCTGCCTCTGCCTCCCAAGTGCTGGGATTAAAGGCATATGCCATCACGCCTGGAATAACTTTTTAAAAAGACATTAGTTTTTATTTTTATGTGTATGAGTGTATTGCCTGCATGTGTATGTAAGTGCACCATGCCATGTAATGCCTGTGGAGGTCAGAAGGAGTCATCACATCCCCTGGAACTGGAGTTATGGATGGTTGTTAGCCACCGTGTGGGTGCCAGGAATTGAACCTGAGTCCTCTGCAAGAGCAGCCAGTACTCTTAACCACTGAGCCATCTCTCCAACCCCAAATAAATAAAAATTTAAAAAGAGATCCTAGGGGGTTAGAGATGTAGCTCAGGATTTGCTCTGTAGCCCATGCTGACCCCATACTCATGAGCTCGTTGCTTTTACCTCTTGAGTGCTGAGATTACAGGTGTGTAGCATAATGCCTGGCTTTTTTTTTCTTTTTTTTTTTCTTTTTTTTTTTTTTTTGAGACAGGGTCTCCCTGTAGCCCCAGCTGTTCTGGAACTCACTATGTAGACCAGGCTGGCCTTGAACTCACAGAGATCTGGCTGCCTCTGCCTCCCGTGTGCTGGGATTAAAAGTGTGCACCACCACGCCCAGCTCTTTTTTTCTTCTAAAGACAGGGTCTTGCTGTATAGCCCAGGCTATCTTGAACCTGCAGCCCTCCTGCCTCATCCTCCCAAGTGCTAGAATTATAGGTATTAGATCACAGACCTTCCTGCCTCTCAGAAATCAGGCCATGTCTCCTTTGCAGTGCTGGTCTCTACTTCCTTTGGAAGTAGCAGGGACTTATAAAGAAATGTTCTTTCTTATCTCTGCAAATAACTCAGATGCCTACCCTGATACTGGCTTTGAGTTAGGCCAGGCTCCCTGCTCCCTGGGGCAAAGTTATAAAAGGCTCTCTTCCTTCCCCTTTCCCCTCTTCTCCTCTCCCCTCCCTCTTTCTTTCCCTTTCCCCCCTTGCCCTTTCCCTCTCTCTTTCCCTCTCCTTTATCATCTCTCCTTCAGGTCCCTCTTCCACCTCCCTTTATGTTGTCCATGACAGGCCTCTGTTCTTTTCTTTCACTTTAAGCTGACCCTTTAAAAAATTCTTTCCCACCCCAAGTCCCAGCCAAATGATGGTCCCCATGGTTGCCAGATTCTCTTGTAATAAAGCTCATTCTGAAGGGTAATTGATCTCAGCTTCTTTCCCCAAAACTTGTCTCTTTTAAAAAAAATTAATTTTATCTCGTGTGTCTGTGTGTGTGTGTGTGTGTGTGTGTGTGTGTGTGTGTGCACGCGCGCGCGCAGCTATGGCACACGTGGAGGTCATGTGGGACCTACAGACTCAGTGGTTTTGTTTTTTTTTTTTTTGTCTTTTTGAGACAGGGTCTCTCTGTAGTCCCAGCTGCCCTGGAACTGGCTACGTAGACCAGGCTGGACTTGAACTCACAGAGATCTGCCTCCTTCTAGGCTGTTTTTTTTTTTAAAAAAATACATTTTAATTTTTAAAAAATTTAATGTGTATGAGTGTTTTGCCTCCACGTACATAAGTGTATACATGTGTGTGATGCACATGGAGGCCAGAAGACTGTGCAGGATCCCCTGGAATTGGAGCTAAGGACAGTTATTAGCTGTTATGTGAGTGCTGGGAACTGAACCAAAGTCCTCTGCAAGAGCAGCTAGTGCTCTTAACCATGGAGCCGTCTCTCCAGTCCTTCCCTGTTTTTTTTGCTTTGTCCTTTTTTTTTGGTCCTTTTGAGACAGGGTCTCCTTGTAGCCCCAGCTGACCTGGAACTCGCTTTGTAGACCAGGCTGGCCTTGAACTCACAGAGATCCACCTGCCTCTGCCTCCCGAGTGCTGGGATTAAAGGCGTGTGCCACCACACCTGGCTGTTTTGTCTTTTTGAAGCAGGGTCTCCCTGTAGCCTCAGCTGTCCTGGAACTCACTATGTAGACCAGGCTGGCCTTGAGCTCATAGAGATCCGCCTGCCTCTGCCTCCCAAGTGCTGGGACTACAGGCATGTGCCACCACACCGGCTGTGTTTTGTCTTTTTAATTTGGGTGCTGGGGATCTAAATTCAGCAATTTGTGTTTGAGTGACAAGCACTTTACTGACTGAGCCATTTCCTCTAGCATGTGTTTCTGTTCTTTAAAAACTTTAATTTTTATGTGCATGTGTGTGTGCTTGTGTGAGTTTATGTGCACCATGTGTATGCAGGAGTCTACAAAGGCCAGAAGTGGGCATTGGATTTCCTGGAATTGGTTGTGACCATCTGTGTACGTGCTGGAAATTGAATCCTGGTGCCCTGCAAGAGCAGAAAATGCTCTTAACTGCTAGGCCATCGCTCCAGCTCCTGTGTCTGTTTTTGATACAGGGGGAAAAGGAGATTGTCCTAAAGTTGTTCAGAAACCATCCTGTTTTAAAACATGTACGACAGATGAGACATGTCCAGGTGTACAGAAGTGCTGCACATTGGGCTGCAACAAGAGCTGTGTGTTTCCACTCTCCAAACAGAAGCTGGGTAAGAAACCTCGTCCTCATACTCCATGGTCTGATTGACTTCTTTCTCAAATATGTACATATCACCTGTGCAAAGGTTGCAAATCATACCCTGATTGTTGGTTTTAGTTTACTTTGAGAAATAATAAAAATGTCTGCTATAGTCTGAGCACTTAAAAAAGATAAGAGTACCCAAGCCATGATCATTTGGGGGTGAGTCCCAGGCAAGCCGGGGTGCCAGAAGGCAGTGCCACATATTCTTATTTGGAGGCAGATTAGAGAGCTGCTGGCAGAGTCCCAATCCCCACTGTCAGTTGAGAGATTCTCTATTGAAACCTTGTTTCAAGAACGTGCAAAGAGACAGTGAAATAGAACTTGATGTCTATGGGAGAGAGCAAGTGTCTACTCACTTGTTCCTGAGACTTTAAAAAAAATTTTTATGTGTATGTGTGTATTGCCTGCATGTGTGTAAGTGCAACTGTGTTGTGCAATGCCTGCGGAGGTCAGAAGAGGGCATTGGATCCCCTGGAACTGGAGTTATGGACAGTTGTTAGCTGCCATGTGGGTGGATGCTGGGATTCAAACCTGGGTCTTCTGTAAGAACACTCAGTGTTCTTAACCACTGAGCCAGGAGTACAATTCTAATCAACTTTCTTTTTTCTGTCTTTTTAAGACAGGGTCTCCCTGTAGTCCCAGCTGACCTGAACTCACTATGTAGACCAGGCTGGCCTTGAACTCACAATGATCTGCCTGTCCCTGTCTCCTGAGTGCTGGGATTAAAGGCATGGGCCACCACACCCAGCTTTTTAAAGTTCAGAACCAGGATATTTTTCCCAAATGCTGGTCACCTCCTCTCTGAGACCCTGAAACTCCATAGCACATGAAGCTTTCCTTTAATTCAAGCATCCCTGGTAGAAAGCCCCTTTCCAGAACCAACTGGGGTGATCTGTGCCTAGCTTAGACAGCTATCTTGGGCAGACTGCCCATAAGAGAGAATAGAGTGTTGTAATCATTTTCAGGATTCTCAGGGCCCAGCTCTGGAACCAAAGCCTGGGAATCTGTTGCAGATAGTCACTCACTGTCAGCTTGTAGGGCCTGGTACAATTTTCTTAGTGTTTGGAGCTGAAGGCTGAATTGCAGGGGTTGAGGGTGAGGCTGGCTCTGAGGTGTAGTATGTTTATGAGCTGCTCTGGCCCTTGTCTGGAATTAGGTCTTTCCTTAATTTATCTTTTCTTTTTTTCTTTCTTGAGACAGTGTTATGTAGCCAACTGGCCTCCAACGTTCTAGCCAAAAATGATCTCGAACCCCTGATCATCCTACCTGATGAGACTTCTTTTTCCCTTAGGGTTATGCAGGCAGGCTAGAGGTGGTCTGCAGATTCCTCAGAGACCACAGGCTGAGTAGGCCCCTCTCACCTGGTGGGAGTTAACTGCTTCTGCAGCTTCTATAGCCCCTGCTCAAGGGGAGGGCTGGCATTCACTCAAGGAGACTGATTCCTAGGAAGCTCTCCTTCCTGCCGGTGAGAAACTCCTGCTTGCCTTACCCCTGTCATTATCAGAGGTTTACCTTAGCATAATTGGTCTGTTTGACAAAGGTGGAGCAGCAGTCAGACTGCCTGAGCACATGCAGACACTGGGACAACTATCAAGAAGTCTGGCTGGAATGAGGGTCTGTGATAGATCTTCTGTTTGCTGCTCTGTGCACTTGGGGAAGTCTGTTCTCTCTGAACCTCCCAACTGCCACCTGTAAAATGGGGCTAAGGATATTTACTTCACAGAGTGATGTAGTTTGGAAGAAATGCATTTAAAAAAGTCTGCACTATACCTGTCAGGTTTGGCTCAGTGGTTATGTCCAGCACCTCTCTGGTCTATTTTCCTCCCTACTTAACCTGAAGTTTGACCTGTCCATTTACTCATTCATTCATTTATATGATGTATGGAAAGTCTGCCCTACCTGGCATGTGGGCATCCATGGTGAGCAAGATCCTTCCTCTCATGGAATTCACAGTATGCCACAGTATGGCAGTAGAGGCAGGACGCAAGTGAGCCAGCAAATAAGAGCCATAGTGTGAAGAACATTAGAAGAGAAGCAGGGAGGCGCAAGCATTTTGACTTAAAGAATGAGAAGGACAGACTTTAGAGGCGTGCTGTGAAGAAGGAACTGCAAGGGAAAAGTTAGGTAGGGAAGAACTCTGTGCTTCTAAGAAAGTGAAAGGAGGTCAGTATGGTTGGAGAAAAGCAAAGAAAGAGGGTGGTTCCTTTCGAGGAACCACAATGAGTCGCTGATGAACCTCTTAGGAGCTTTCTTGGTAGACAATAACACTGTGGTTCTATTCTGGAGGGATTAAATATGTCCTTGAGATTCCACTAGAAGAAGCCTCTTAGAAACCTGTCTGGTTTTCTCTTTGTCCCATGTACTTTTCCTTTGATGATTCTGCTTTGTATCTGCTTTTGCTGTGATAAATCATGAGTATGACTGCATGGTAAGTCCTCTGATGAATTTCTCAACCTGGGAGTGGTTGGGAGTGACTCTGAACACACTGACCTGTTGTTTTTCCTAATCAACTCTTGAAGATCTCTATTTTGTTGTACTGGATATAGTGAGGCCCAGTGTTTGCTGATTAGTTTTTGAGAGATACTTACTGAAGTGTAGATGAAGATAAAGCAGTTTAAAATGCATAAGGCCGGGCATGGCGGCACACGCCTTTAATCTTAGCACTTGGGAGGCAGAGGCAGGCAGATCTCTGTGAGTTGAGGACAGTCTGCTGTACATAGAGAGTTCCACTCCAGCTGGGGCTACAGGGAGACCCTGTCTCAAAAAGATAAAAAAAATGTGTAAGACCTCATGTCAAAGCTAGTGGTCTACCCACACTGGGACCCAGTTTTGTTACCACTGACCTCAAGTTAACCTGCCCCTTTTCTGGATGTCTTTCTACTTGCAAGAGAAGAGTAGGTTTCATAGCTCAGAGAACTTTTCTGGCTTAAAAGCTGGAAAATTGTACTTTCTGACAGCAGCCTGTATTCTTTCAGATACAGTAGAACATTCAGGAGTAAAGACTTTTCTGGCTTCAGCTCCCTTGCTTTTTGGTGATAAGGCGGGGTCTTGGGGGGGGTACAGGTAGAGGGTAGGGGTAACCATCTGAATTGTCTACCAGTCCTGATTCCGTGTAAGGTACTTGATTGTGAAGTTACTGGGACCCACACTTTGTAATGACTGAGCTTACCTAGCCTGCCAAAGCCAAGTCAGCAAGGGCAGGGCATCCTGGCCAAAGGGATCGCAGGGACCTTGTCTTTACAAAGAACCTTTTCCTGGTGGTAGGAAAAGAGTGAGTAGACTGTCTAAGGAGCCAGGTTTCAGGTTAGTATGATGGAGTATAAAAGCTTAAGTACAAGATGGCATGGGCTGATGTAGAGGTAGTGAGGTCCACTGAGCTGACAAAAAGGAATTATTTGGCGTGGATGTGACTGTACAAGAGGGTGGCAGTGCTGAGCACTGCTCAAAGGGGTTGTGCTCTGACCTTTGAGGCCCCAGCCTGCCTCCCAAGGGTCCCTTCATTGCTTCTAAAATTTGGCAAAACTCCTGGGACCTGAAGGAAAGCTGGACTGGAAGACAGTAGAGGTAAGGTCTCTGTGTATTTTCTTGGGGTTGAGAGCCGGGCAGCAGGGTGCTCCTGGCGTTGGCCACATCAGGGCCACGCTCATCAAAATGGTGGTACCTGGGAAGAATGGAGGTCTAGGCCTCTCTTTCTGGGTTCATTGTACAATTCTATAAGAAGTTTGTGACACTGGCATTTTCCTCTGGGGAGAGTCCATATCCAGCCTGCTCAATTGTGGAGTAAAAGGGTATTATTTTTTGTCAAATGTACTTCAGTGTTTGTCAGGAAGATGAGTAGGTACAGGGAGGTACACGAGCTGGTTACAGTGACCTTGTTTTCCAAATTAAACATCAGCATACATAGTTTTGACAAGATATCATAACGACATAGGATATTCCTGTACAGAAAAATCCCAGGACACAAGATTATTAAGCCTAATGTATTTTACTTGCATTTTCCATCGTGGCAGACTTCCTGGAGCCAGCCATATGTAATCGTATGTACCTATCACAGAGGAACTGGGCCAGGCATATGTTGGCATTCTACAAAGGCTTTAATTGTCTATCACCTTGCTTCCCATTTAAAGAAGTCGAAATAAATACTGAATGAGTCATGGTGAGGTGGTTTGGCTCAGATGCAATCTTCTTTGGGTGTGCCTGATCCTGAGGACCTAGCCAAGCTGCCTGCATGTTTTACCGATGATGTAGTAGAAAGTGCTTCACTGCAAATCAAGAGGTTGAGTTTTGTGCTGCACTCTGCAGTTCTGGGTGGGTCCCATTCTGTTGTTTGGGTTTTATCTTCGCAGCGGTGATGAAGTGGCACATCCAGAATGTGTTCATCTATGGAACATTAACCAGACAGGGGTTCACTATCCTCATGTCACAAAAACTCAGAGGGAGGGAGAGCTGCTGTGGCAACTCTATGATGCTACAGAGGAGGAACTCTCTCACCTTGCTGATCCTCAATTTTGTCCTCATGTTAGTGGCCTCCTTCAGAGAAGGCTGTCCTCTCCTTCCTCTTCATGTCTGTCTTTGGAAGAAGAAAGAAGTGAGGTGACAGTTTGTATCTAGAGTCTCTCCAGTTCATGCCTTACTATGTGGTCACATCTAGTTGCAAGAGAGTAAGAGGGAAGTGAACCATTTTGGCTGGACTCATTGCCTCTCAGAACAGACCTGGCCTGGGGTTCTTTTATTTATTGCTGTATAGTAAACACTCCCTAAATAGCACAGTGGCTTAAAATAATGGTTTATCCTTCCTCACAGCTGTAGGGTTGCCTGGGCTCAATTGGACAGTTTCTGTCTCCACATGGTCTGGCTGAGGCCATGCCTGCAGCTGCTTTCATCTGGGAGCGCCGCAGAGCTGGAATGTACAGGATGATCTTTATTTCCTTAAATTAACTAACCAATTAACTAATTACTGTGTGTATATGTATATTTGTGTGTGTGTGCACAGGTGCATGTGCATGTATGTGCATGTGCCTGTGGAGGCCAGAAGTCAGCTTTGGATGCCATTCTTCAGGAACTGTCCACCTTGTTTTATTTTTATTTTTTTGAGATAGGGTCTCCCATTTGTACCCAGGGCTTGATGATTAGGTAAGGCTGGCTGGCTAGTGAGCCCCAGGGATCCACCTATCTCCACCATCTCACTTTGGGATTACAAGTGTCTACCACCATGCCTATCTTTTTTTTTTTTTTTTTTGGTCTAATAGGAATCAGACCCAAATTCCATGTTCCAACATGGTAACAGTTTCATGATGTTTTTATAGTAACAGAACAAAGAAAAGTAGTAAGTCAAGACACTTTTCAAATACATCAGTGGAAACATTAAGTAGGTCTGCCTACAGCAAAGAGAAATTTCAGCTATAGGCATCAGATGCTATCTGATGACAGTCTTCTGCCTGGCGGAAGCTGGTGGTCTGTCCACCAGCTCCCTTTGGGTTTACAAGTGTCTTCCCCCATTCCTTTTTTTTTTTTTTTTTTTTTTGGTATTTTTGAGACAGGGTCTCCCTGTAGCCCCAGGTGACCTGGAACTTACTATGTAGACCAGGCTGGCCTGGAACTCACAGAAATCCACCTCCCAAGTGCTAGGATTAAAGGCTTGTGCCACCATGCCTGGCAACTCCATGCCTATTTTTTTACATGGATGCTAGGGATCATACTCAGGCTCTTATGACTTGCATAACAAGCACTTTACAGCTAAGCCGTCTCCTCAGCCCCCTGGGTGGTCTTTTTCACTTCATATTTCTTGTTCATAGGGCATCTCCGCACACCACAGTCTAGCTCAAGCTGCTTGGCAGTGTGATGGCTGGTTTTCAAGAGTGAGTGTTCTGAGAGGACAGGCCCCAATGTACAGGTGCTTATTAAGCATCTGCTTGTATTATGCTTCCTAATACTCCCTGGTCAGAGTAAGTCATATGGTGAAGCCCAGAGTTAGTAAGGAAGGGGACTTCACCAGGACACCAGTCCCAGAGGTTTAGTTGATTGGGGATCAGCACTACATTATTTGAGTGAGAAAGAAGAGAGAGTGAATGGCAGGAGGGCAGTTCCTAAGTTTGCTACAGTGGTTAGAGCTGAACAGTGTCTTTCAAACCATGTCAAAATCAGGAAGCAGTTTATGACCAGCATTAGAACAATGAGCTGGGCATGGTGGCACATGCCTTTAATCCCAGCACTTGGGAGGCAGAGGCAGGAGGATCCTCTGTGAGTTCAAGGACAGCCTGGTCTACAGAGTGAGTTCCAAGCAGCTGGAACTACAGGGAGACCCTGTCTCAAAAACACTACCCCCCCCTGCAAAAACAAACAAAAAAAAAATCCAGAACAATGAATGTGAAATATTAGGGTTATTGCATATATATGATGTACATAAATGTGTATGTTAAGAAAGTCTATACTGGGGCTGGAGAGATGGCTCAGTGGTTAAGAGCACTGACTGCTCTAGCAGAGGACCCGAGTTTGATTCCTGGCACCCACATGGCAGCTACAAACCATCCTTAACTCCAGTTCCAGGGAAATCCGAAGCCCTCTTCTGACCTCTGAGGCATTGCATGTCATGGGTGCACTCACATGTATGCAGGCAATACACTCATACACATAAAATAAAAATAAATAAAATATTAAAAAAAGAAAGTCTATGTTAACATACACATGGGACATGTGTTTCATACTCCTGACTTGAGCACATCTGGGTTTCAACACTTTGATTCTATGGCAGAGTTCGAAGGTGCGTGTCCTGCTGACCCTCTTCCATGTGAGGAGCTGTGTAATGGGGACACATCCTGTCCCCAGGGACATAAATGCTGTAGCACCGGCTGTGGCCACGCCTGCCGTGGAGACATCAAGGGAGGTATGTTGGTTCTTTGGGAGGAGATCCACAAGTGTCCCCTGGGTCCCAAGTTAATATGGAGGAGCTACCTGTGATCACCTTCCTGGGGCCGCCTTCCTGGTGGAGCCAGTTGCCATCCTTAGAGTTCCCCTGGCCTCCAACCATTGCAACCCTTCCTTCAAGGATCAAAGGGGCCATGTTGGCATGGGAAGAACTAGGGGAGGGAAGTGCAGCAATGTAGCTTCAGGCAATGTAGCTTCAGGTCTTGGTTCTGCTGGACATTGACTTTGTGACTGAATGAATAATCCCCTCTTTTTGAGCCCTCTGTCCAGTGAAGAAGTTGTCTGAGATCACTGGTTTTCACACCGTTCTCCTACTTTCTGAGTGTTAGGGTTACAGGCATGCATCTCCACACACAGTTTATGCAGTACTGGGGGTTGAACCCAGGGCTTCATGTTAGGCAAAACAGCTACATCATCTGCTCCTTTAGTCTGTTTATATTGTTAGGCAGTGCTCAACCCTTTGTCCTTATGTATATATAACCTTTTCAGGAATACAGACAAATGAGGCATTACAGATGCCTGTCAATCATGAGGTCATACCTGATAAACCCATTGTAGGTTGAAATTGTAAGTTAAGGTGAATTTAATGCTGTCAACCCACCAAACCTAGCTTCACAACACACAGAGCACATTGCAGTGGATCAGCTGTGTACCTTTGTGGCCCTGTGAATGACTAGGAGCTGTGGCTTGCTGCTGCTGGCTAGCATTACAGTCAAGTATCATAATATTGCTGATCTGGGAAAAGATCAAAATTGAACATGAAATGTATTGATTTCACTGCATGTGTGTCATTTATGTACCATTGAAAAGTTGAAAATTTATAAGTAAAACAATGATAAGCCAGGGCCTCTCTGTATAATAATGTTTGATGAGAGGCTGAGGAGATGGCTCAGTGGGCAAACACTTGCTACACAAGCATGAGGACCTGAGTTCAGATGCCTAGCACCCACATAAAACTACTCAGTAGTATGCACCTGCAATCCCAGTGTTCTTTGGTGAGATGGAGGTAGAGAGAAAGAGTAGAATCCCTGGAAGTCTGTGGGCTAGCTGACCTTAAGTACACAGTCCGACAGAAACCCTGCCTCAAAAAACCAGGTGGAGGGCTGGGGAGATGGTTCAGCGGTTAAGACACTGACTGCTTTTACAGAGGACCCAGGTTTGGTTCCCAGCACCTATATGGTGCCTAACAACCGTCTGTAATTTCTAATCTCCATGGGCATTGTGCTACATGGATGTACTTATACACATGCAGACAATATACACATAAAATAAAGATAATTAAAAAAAACCAAGATGGAAGGACAGAACCAACTCCCAAAAGTTATTCTCTGACCTTGACAAATGTGCTGTGGCATGTGCCTGCCTGCCCTCACACACAAATGAGAACACACATATACATGCACATACATCATACGTGCACATAGACCTCTCATAGTTCAGTCAGAGGGTAGAAGGCAGAGCCTTGTCTTTCTGCACTTGACTCTTTCTAAAGCATATATTGTTCCCAACCTCCTAATTGCCTCTGAGGAACTCCCTTTGGGGCATCTTTTGAAAATTCTTAGTCCAGAAGTCTTTGGGTGCCTATGGAGCCTCAGATCCCCTAGCTTCCTTGTTTCCCATCAGGTTAGGAGTCAGGTTGATTCACACGCCTGAGCCTAAGTTCTAGACGGGAACCTGGGAAGAGAGGAGCCAATGTCCAGTCTCTTTGCCTCTGCTGGTTTTCCCCACAGGGCGGAATGGTATTTGTCCAAATGTTCTGATGGGTCTGTGCATTGTCAGCTGTGTGATGGATGAGAACTGTCAACCTGGGGAAAAGTGCTGTAAGTCAGGCTGTGGCCGCTTCTGTGTCCCAAGGCTTCTGCTATCCAAACAGACCACAGACTCCAACCGGACCAACAGCTCTGATTCTGAAGTAGGTAAGTATTGACCTTGTCACCTGCAACAAGCTGTCAAGTTAACAGACCTAACTATGTTGTGCAGACTGGCTTAGGTACCAGGAAAGGGACTTCTGAAGGTCAAAAAGAAACTAGTTGGAAAGAAAGCAAGCCGCCACACCCACTATGGGATTACCGTGTTTAGAGTGGGTGTGGCTGTCTAGTGGGGGGAGATTTTTCTAGGAGGGATGGGATTTTGTCCAGGTTCTAAAAGCTAGGCAGATGTGACAGAGTGATCATAGCACAGAGGACATGCCAGACTCCCAATGTGATCCATAGCAAAGCCACAGAGGGTGGGAATGCACGCAAATTGATGCAGGGTTTTTGGGTTGTGAGGGTTGGGGTGCTGGGCAGGAAAGGGAGCAGTCACAGCTCCTGTTTGATAGCAAAGACACATAGGTCTATTTCTAAATGATAAGAGCCTTCAGACCAGTTAGGAAGCTGGCAACCAATTAAGGCTTTTGAGAGTGACACACATTAAGGCTCTCCAGGAAAGAGAGGAAACAGGCTGGGCAGCTGGGGCCAGAGAAGTGCAGTTGTGACCTGAAATTTCTTCTGCTTGCAGAGACTGGAGCACCCTAGTTGTCTTGATTTGTCTGGAGCTCCAGAAAGCTTGTTCGGGCCGCCAGGAAAGGGTGATGTCCTAGAGCTTGTAACACTCCCAGGGCATTGGGCTGCCTCTGCTCTGCTTCTCCTGTGTCTGGAGCACAGGAAACAACCTGGGGATGGGCAATGTGTGTTGGTGCTTCTCCTTCCCAATAAAAGGCCAGTGTGGACCCTCTTGTCTGTACTGTGTAGGGCTCAGATGAGGTGGGGAACTGGGGCTCTGTGTGTGGCTGTGGGATTGCAAAACCTATGCACTGAAGAAAGATGGTGAATTCATTTTTTCTTAAAAATTTTAATAACTTTATCAATATTATTACTGTTGTGTGTGTATATGATGTATATGTGTGTGTGCAAGTGTGTGGAGCCAGTGTCTGGAGTCAGAGTGAGGGACCAGTGTGAGGTGTCAGTGTGTGGTGCCAGTGTGAGGAGCCAGTGTGAGGGGCCGATGTGTAGAGCCTTTTTTTTTTGAGTCAGGGTTTCCCTGCAGCCCCAGCTGGCCTGGACCTCACTATGTAGACCAGGATGGCTTTGAACTCACAGAGATCCTCCTGCCTCTGCCTCCTGAGTGCTGGGATTAAAGGCATGTGCCACCATGCCAGGCTATCTTGAATAATTCTTTACTAGACTTCCATGCCATGGCTAATTTTTTTTATTGAGCTTTTGTGATTTCATACAATAATACTTAATCAAATTTAGACCCTCTCCCCCATCCATGCCTCCTATATCTCCCCATCAGACCTCATGTATTTCACATACATATTAAGTCCTATCTAGTCAAGCATTTGTACCCAGATGTCTTTCAGTGTAAATTCATCCACTGGAGTCTAGTCAGCCCATCTAGAGATTGTATGTAAGACATACTCTCCCTCCCCCAGTAGCAGCCTCCAGTAGTTCTCAGTCTAGAGCTGGCCTGTCACCCATTTCTCTCCTCCCCTCTGGGCCCTTGTTTAATTGAGTTGGCATGGGTCATGTGCTTGATGCCACTATTGCCACAAGTTTACATGCAAGCTTCCAGTGGCCTGAAAGCCTCTGCTTCCCTGTCTTCATGAACTAGCCCTGGCTCTTACAATCTTTCCGTTCCTTCTTCTGCAAAGGTCCCTGAGCTGTGGGTGGGTGAGTTTCAATGTCCTAGTCCTATCCAAGGATACACACTCTGCAGCCTCTTATTCTTTAAAACTTGGCAGTTGTGGCCTTCTGTGTGCATCACACTCTGTTCTACAAGGAAGCCTTACTGGTGAGAGTTGAAGGATGCATTAGTTTTCTTTCTACCCTTTGTTCCACTATGTCATGGTCATGGTGAAGTTATTTAACTCACTATCTCACTTTGAACATTGATACCCTTCTACGTACATATCATGGCCTATTTTTTTTTCCAGAAATTCTTAGTAGTAGAATTCTAGGCTCTTAAATAGATCTCCCAATAGGTTCTTAATATTTGAGTGAATAAAATAATGAATGTAATTCCTTAGTCTGTCAAATTGAGAATTTTGGGACCACAAGTAACAAGAAATCCAACTATCTGGGGCTTACCCAACAAAGACATGGCAAGAAGCAGCATGAGGTTACCTCAGCAGCTCGAAGCCTCTGTGCTGGGCCCTTTGTACCTCACAGGTGCAGATTGTTGCAGCTCTAAACATCACAGCAGGGAGAAGCCATGTGTAGACCGAAGTGCAGAAAGACCTTTACTTCACATGGCCCTCGTCCTATGAGAACTTCCTCAGAAGTTGCTGCAGAGAGGCACTGAGAAAGCAAATGTTTGCAGAGGGAGTGTCTTAAGATTAGACATGCTTTACCCCTGGACGGGACATAAAAACCCGAGTTCCACAGCAAAGGAAAGAGTGCTTTTTGGCTAGCTGGGTAATATGTATGCTGTACTGGCTCAAAGGGCACATGCATCTTACATCAGGATTGAAATTGCTGAGTGTGGGCCAGTGAAATGGCCCAGTGAATAAAGGTACTCACTGCTAAGCCTGATGACTTGAGTTCTAACCCCGGGACCCACATAGTAGAAGGAGAGAACTGCCCTCCTGCACGATGTCCTCTGACTTCTACATGTGTGCTGTGGCATATATGCCCACAGAAAGACACACATACACACACAAAATGTTAAAAAATAAAAACAGAAATTGGGAAGTGAAATTCTTGTTTCTACTCAGTTTCGAACACCCATCTGAGTAGACGTGTGTTGGAGTTGCCTGATCTCATAACAGGTAGCTGTGTTGTGCCATGAGCTTTGAGTGGCTGGCCCAGGGTAGTCATGGCTCTGGGTTCATGTTATAAGCAAATGGCGAGGGCTGGTGTCAGTCTGATGGTCAGATTCCTTGTTCAGTATTTTGTTTTATTTCATTGTTTACTTAAAAATCAAAATAATACATCCACATATTTTCTTTTGACTTGGAGTATTGTTGTGTTGCTCAGATGGGCCTTGAACTCATGGACTCAAATGATTCTCTTGTCTCCTGAGTAGCTGAGACCACAAGTGCCTGGCACTGTGTCAGCTTTATGGACAAAATTAAAATATCAGTATGGTAGAGATTTCAAATAATCATCCTGGAAATAGCCATCCTGAAATCTTAAAATAGTAAGATGATTTTCTGTTAGGTAAGAGTAGGGCTGGTTGCCTGTGCAGGTAGCAATGGGGGAGAGAGGGAGAGAGAGGAAGAGGGAGAGGAAAGGGTGTGGGGGAGGGAGGAGAAGCACGGGGAGAACAAGATTGAGAAGAGAGATAGAGATAGAGATGCTTAAATTCCAGGTCTCCCAACAACCTCAAGGCCTTTGGCACCATCTTTCCCTGATGTTGTGCCCTAAACCAAAGAGGCTGTTTGAAACTTTCCTTCCTCCTGGTTTAATTCCTGTCTGGGAAGCAAGCCTCTAGGAGCCCTGATGCCTCTACCTTTGCATCTTGATGTTTGGCCAGATTGAAAAGCCACCCACCCTCCCTTCCTCAGCTTCCTCAGAGTAGGCAGCATTTCTGGGCTTTGGACCCCTAAGTGGGGACTGGCAACAACTTGTGCTTTGGGGGAGTGTCTCTCAGCAATTCCTGTCTCTACTTTCATCAACCATCTGACTCCTCCATGCCCTTTTGCCCAGGTACCTGCACCTTTCCCTGTTGTTCCACGTCTCATTTTTCTCGCTTACAATGTCATTGGTAGGCAGGTGTGTGGGTGAGGAGGGTGGGAAGTTGCTCTCGAGCTGAGGGCTGGCTTCTCTTTACCAGTTAGGTTCTATTGTCAAAGGGATCAGTGCATAGACACACCAACTTCACAGAGATTGACAAAGTTAAGAAGAAGAAGGCCACAGTGGAAGGAATTCTTTGCTGGGTGCTTTATTCTCTGAGCCATCAGAGGGCAGCAGAAGTCTAGATCACAGACCATTAAATGACACTGCAGAAGCCCTGTTAAAGGAAAAGCTCACAGGCCTCTTGAGTTTCTATATCCCCACTGAAATACACTTCATAAGATATAAATCAGACCCTCAGTTTTCATGACATTTGAAGTATTTCTGCATTTTTGTTACTGTTTATCTTGGAGACGTTATTCATTATGTATCAGCTTTTCTTATACAAAGCGTAAGGGCCAAATTGTGTAGCTCAAGAGCAGGGTAATGTTTTTCTTTATGAGTGGAGGAGAGAAGGGACAGAGGATTAACTTTCCAGGCATTAGTGATCCTTCCAGCTTCTGGAGTTGGTGCCTTCTACATTTGATAGGTCCATTTTGCAATTGGTGATCAGGAAGCCAGACATGGTTTTGGAGTTTATTTTAGTAGTAACTATTCTTTATCTTTCCTCTGTTTTTCTTCAGTTTCTTTGCAGTTTCACAGCTGTTTGTATGCTTAGGATTTTGAGTCCTTTTTTGTTATTTTTTAATTTCTCTTTTTTAGTTTTTGGAAAAGGATAAGGATCATTATTGAGTTGTCCAAACAACATGGAAAAATTCAAAGGAGATCTTTTCAGCCATAATCAACTATTATTAGTGAGCATCCTTCTAGACCTCCTTTAAGCATGTGTATTAGTCCATTTTTCATTGCTATAATGAAATCCTGGAGGCAGGACTACTTTCTGGGAAAAAGAAGTTTACTTTGGCTCATGGGTATGGAAATTTAAGGTCAGGTGGCCACATGTAATAATGGTTGTTTTCTGGCAGAGTCCTGAGATATCACAGGACAAGAAACAAATATATGTCTATATTATATGACTGGTCTCTTTCCCTCTTATAAGGTCATTAGAATTCAATCAAGGGGACTCTACCCCTTATCTAATTCTATTCACCTTCCAAAGGCTCACCTCTAAATACTATAGCCAGATTAACTTTCAAATTTGTCTTAATGGGGACTAAATTTCTATGCACGAATCCTTGGGGGCCATGCAGACTACATTCAGTGATCACATATATGCAAATGTTGATGTGGGCAGCAATCATGGGGGCATCCGGTTCTTACTGCTCTGTAATTGGCTTCTGTCATTTGACAATAGATCATAGCTAGATGTGTTTTAATTGTAAAGGGGCTTTATTTCCTTCAGTATTCTTTTGTTTTTATTTAACGGGGCCCTGGAACTCTGTAGTTGCTGCTTGTCCTGTTTGTGACGGTCTTTACCAAGCGCTTCAGAGGCTTCAATCTTATTTCAGTTACATCAATCAGCATGTTAGACAAAGCCTCCATTCTTTCTGCAATTCTCCTTGAATTAGGATAACTTGCTGTTGATGCTTCTTGCACAGTGTTCTTGATTTTGATTCTTAGATTCTTCTGTTCCACTGTGATCATTTTATAGGCTGTACCTTTCCATTTTAATATTATCTCACTTTTAATATTTTTTCCTTTAAATATAGGTTTTTCTTTCCAAAACTCTCTAGCAGAGGCAAGAGAAAAGAAACAACTTGTTCCCTTCTTCTTTCCTGGTTTCTTCTGCTTATTAGCACTGAAACTCAAAACCAAAACAAAGGACTAGGGATTTGGCTCAGTTGGTACAGTGCTTGCCTAGCATGCGTGGCATAAACTGGGTGTAGTGGTGCATGCCTATAACCATAGCACTCAGGAGGTGGAGGCAGAAAGATCAGAAGTTCATGATCATCCTTGGATATATAGGGAGTTTGAGGCCAGCGTGGGCTAGAGACCATGTTAAGAGCAGGAGCAGCAGTGGCAGCAGCAACCACAAATA